ACATTAAATAAAGGGAAGGAACCATCTAATCAGAGCTGTAGGTAATACTAAATTATGCCTGGTGAGGTACAACCTTCCTTACAACTCTGAGTACAATCTTTTCTTTCTTTTGACTCTGGCAGCATTTTCTGTTTTCTGGAGCTACATTTTTAAGATCAGCATATATTGACTAGGTTCTGCCCCCCGGGGCCTACGGACTTCTCGAGTTCAAGCCCTGATGATTTGATGAATGCCTGCGGGTAGCGTTTCTGGCGCGTGATGGGAATGCCTTCTGATTTCACAGTCCAGCCAGTGGCCTCAGACCACGCGTCCTTGCTTGGCTCCCCAGCCCAACCTGTTGCAGTTGTGCATCTGTACACCCTCTTAGTTTGCAAATAGCGCACACGTTGCTCTAAAACCGTTAAGACTAAAATTCAGTTTATGAACGGACTGGCGGACATTGGTATATCAGGTAAGCTGGCCTAGATTCGTGTAAGTGTGCTGGCCTAAAATCAAGCTCCGGATGTGTGAGAACTTCAATCCCCAGAGTTCCCCTTTTAAAAGTCCAGGGAATTCTGGGGCCTGACGTCGAAAGTTCTGCAGAGTATTGGTTTGAGACAAGTGTACGAAAGAGGCTCCCAAAAGAAAGATGGGAGCAGAGGGAGCTGGTTGGTGAGATCTGCTCGGAATCCATGGGAAATGAGTCAAGGGCGGGCTTGCCCACGCAGAAGCAGCCATCTGGATGAGTCTGAAGAACATCTTCCCAGAGTGAAGGTGGCTTCCTCTCTGGTTTTGAGGCAACTGAAGGGGAGCATTAAGCCCCCCCCCATGGAAATGTGAGACACAGCTCTCCTGGCGATGCAGGTAACCCTAAATTGTAGACACTTCAAATGGAGTAAGGTAAGCCTGCTGGATGCCGAACGTGCTTCAAAACGGATTCTCGCTAGAGAGGTTTTGCGATGCACAGAAAGGTCACCGCAATACCTCTTTAAAGCAGCTGGATCGTTTTTACCTTTCCACCCGAGCCTTTTCTTCCAACGCAGCTGCTTTAATGAGTCGCCTTAAAAGATCCCGCTTGCTTTAGCGAGCAGTCAGGATCGTGCCAAAAACAGCAAAAAAGATGTTTTCTCGAGCAACCCAAGCCTGAGTTATTCAGCTCTTGCAAAACCAGCAGCAGAGCCTGGCCGTTTCTCCCAGAAAGCTGGGTGCAGTGCTAGAGCCCGCTTCAGACAGCCTCGGTACTCGGAGCCGCCGTATTGCGAGCCCACCAACTTTCCAGACCGGGCATCG